ATATTTGGTGAGGATGGGTGGTTTTTGTTAAATTATGATTATTATTTTCACGTACATTGAAACAATATACGCATGATAGAATATATCCAAAAATGCATATTCTCAAAATATTATTTACATAAATTTTTTAAAGTATCAATTTATAATATACTAAATATCTATCTAGAATAAAAAAAGATAAAATATGTAATATGCTTGCTTATTAAATGATAATACACCGAATAGGTGAATTTGTTGTATTTACCAGGTCGAATATAATTTAAAAAAATTCCGAGCCGGGCCTAAAAAATTTTTTTTAAAAAAATCCGGGCCGGGCCTAAAAAATTTTTTTTAAAAAAATCCGGGCCGGACCGTGCAAATGGTACCTCTACAGGTTTCTGATATATATTTATGACTAATATAATATTGGGTGGGTTAACTACCTAACACCCACAGCTTCTACATGAACAGGGGGTTGGTGGGAACAGTTTGCATCTAAATTTTTATTGGGGGGGGGGGTAGTGGGAGAGACGTTTTTAGGGGGTTAGGATAATTTTTTTTTTTGGGGGGGGGGGTATGGTTATTTATTAAATTTTGAGATGAAATACGACAAAATATATTGCTGTAAAAATTAATACTTTTATTAAAGACCTATTATAATATAATGATATTGCTGATGACCGTGACCACTACTAATGCCCGTGATATTTAGTGAAAAAACTAATAATCACACCCGATATTTAGTGAAAAACTAAATATAACACCCACGTTTATTAAATATTTTTAATTCCATGTGCCCGTGATATTTAAAACCATCCATTTTATAAAAAAAATGGATTTTATTTTTACGATTATATTAAATTATACATTTTGTTTAAATTTAAATAATTAACCAAGTAGCAATATTGTTTTTATTCATCATACACAGATTCTTAAAGTACATGCTAATATTTTTTATATATTAAATTTAAATAATGTTATTACTGGTTAGAACAGAATATATTTTGATTCCACTTCTCTGCTATAAATTTGCTCTGGAAGGCACAGAATAAGAAAGTATAAAGGTAAACAATTTTTTTTAAATATACAGTTATTTTATGCTAATATAAATATTATTTAATTGAATTTAGTCCAAATATTATCTGTTTTCTAAGCTAATTACTATTTCTCAATAATTAACAAAGCAGCAAAATTGTTTTTATTTATCATATATAGATTCTTAAAGTACATGAATAAGCGAAAATAAGGTGATTTAACACTCCCAGATGAGCCAAAATTATCAAGATGAAATTCGGTCTAAGAAACATTATTGGCCGTTATTTGGATTTGTAATTTATAAATTTCTACATAATGCATGTACCAAAGATACTCGGAAAGGGCATTCGATCTTAGAGTTAAAAGAACTGTTGCCCCAGCATATTTGATGAAATCAAAAACTTAAATTTACATATTCCAAACAATGCGCGATGAATACTAGAATAAGTAAAAATCGTGATTTTTTCATAGACTAAAAAATCATTTTTTCTTAAAATCACATTTTACAATAAAAGGAAACTATTTAAAAAATATGTTATGGAGAAAAATAACTCCTGAGGCGATGTGATCTTAAGCTTGAAATTAAAATGAAGAACTATGAGTATTTCTTATACATTCTAAATATTCATAATGATATCGATAGATGTCTAAAATAATACTTATATTTATATTGAGTGTTTTAAAAAATCGCTATAATTAGAGGATATTTCTTAAGTTCCCAATTTTTTGATTTTTAGTAAAAATACGAATTTATAAAAAATAATCATTTTTACGATTTTTTAAAAAAAACTCAATTGAAATATAATTACCTTCCCTGACATCTGTTAATATTAATTTCGAAATTTTCCAAAATATATTTAAAAAAAAATGCCTAATTCGTTCTCCACAATTTCGTACCGAAACCAGGGATGCAAACTCGGCAAAATTTTTACCCTGGTTCGGTTAAAAAAGAATAGGTGGGTTTGGTTCGGGTTCGATTCAGGGAAATATTTTTGAACCCGGGTATGGTTCAATGTTCATCTCGGGTTTAAGAATTTTTGAATTGATAAATAAAGATTCTATATTTAAATCAATTAAAAAACTGACATAAATTTGGTATAAAAAATAAATTTTTTATTTTATTTATAGATTGTTATAAATACAAAGCATAGTCATTTATCAATTTTAAAAATTTTATTTAGACGTATTTCTTTAAATTAACAATATCCAATATAATAATTTTTACTTTGACTTGTTCACTTTCATTTTTTTCTAATTAATAATCTTTGAGAATAAAAATTAAAAATAAATGGCGTAAATGAATTTAATTGTTTAAAATTTATTAACACTCCAATAGGAATCTTTGAGGATAAATTTAAAAAATTTTAAAATGGCGTAATAAGTTGTTTAAAATTTATTAACACTTCACTTAATTGGAAATTTGAAAATATTATAAAATCTCAACTAAATTATTACTATTTATATTTAAAATAATACAAATATCTTAATATATGATTTTAAACAATACACTGAACCCGGGTTTAAATAAATTTCCCAGGTTCGGTTCGGGGTTTTGAAAATTTTATAAATGGGTTTCAGGTTCGGCTTCGGTTTAGATTTTTTTTCTAAAAACCCGGGTTTTCTTCTACGGGTTCGGTTCGAATCCTTGACCGAAACCAACAAAATATTTATTAAAGAATACTAAAATAATATTATTTTTATAAGTTTATCATACCCAAAAAATGATTTCAGGATTAACACAACATAAAATTATTTATATTAATAAAATTTAGCAAGTAACAAAGGTATTTTAAACTAACCAGTAGCGTAAAATATTTACCCGACCTAAGACCTATGAGGTAACCTCTATCAGGGAAAAATCTTGTTTACGCCTACGATTTTTTATTCCTACAGGAATGATATAACTATCTTTAGGGATGGCCTAATTATATCCAAATATACATTTTTGCGAATTAGGATTGTTAAAACTAAAATAAGTTTGGGTTTTTTCGTTGATGATAAATTAAACAAAAGGGTGTTCAAATTAGAGGTCTGCATTGGGCGGGGTTTCGGCCTGCCCGCCCATCATAGTGGGCGGGTAAAAATTTTTTCGAAAATGGGCAGGCGGGTTAAGGAAATTTAAAATTTTTGTTCAAAAACAAACTAAAAAAAATAATTGTTTAAATGATCTATAACAATATTTCTATTTTTATTGTACCAATTGTTTTTTTTAAATGAAGAACATTTACCTAACTATATTATGTAATAAACACAACAATAAAACTCTTTTCTTAGAATAAATAAACATTTTTATCTATTTAAAATCTCCTTTTATGGGAATGTAATAAAACTTTTCCAGTGCTTCTTCCGAACGCGGATTTAGCATTGCTGAAAGATTTTTAGAACAAAGAAGAACGTGTTTGAATCCAGAAAATGTCGATTCCTTATTATTTTTGCATTATAATTATATATAATATTAATTTTACATTTATATATTTTTCATAAATATTCAATTTGATCAAATAAATTGTCCATAATTTACAATGATTATTTTTATACTTATATTAATTTCCTAAATTATAAACTTTTTGTAGAGGTGTAATGCTGAAATATTTTTATTAGATGCTTAAAAAAATGAAAGAATGACCATAATTAAATTTTGTAAGCTGGATTGGGTTAAAATTTTTTTATAAATAATGGGCGGGTAAAAAATTTTAGACAAATGGGCGGGGCGGGCGGGTATATATTTTTTGAAAACTACGGGAGGGCTGGGCAGGCGGGCTAAATTTTTTTTAACATTGGATGGGCGGGCTTTTGGTCCAAAAACCCGCCCAATGCAGACCTATAGTTCAAATCAGCGCTTGCCTCTCATCAAGATATATATTCTACAGGTTTATTGTTAAATAAATATTCAAAATTTAATCCTTGGTGCAACTAGTAAATGCTAACTTAAAGAGATTAGTTTATACCGTTACCCTGATTTTTTTATAGTAAATTTAATAACGATGAGATCATTTTAAAATGCGGATCAATTCGGTAGATGACATTCAATAATGGTGACAAAATAAAATAAATATAATCCTTATTTATTTTTAGTCAATGATACTGCGACAACATCCTCCATACCATTTCCTAAACGTCAAAGATGCTCATTAAACGATAATAGTGTAAACTCATCTTAGACTTTGGAAGATAACAATATTTTTTCATTATCTGCAATATTTTCCACGCGTTAAACAAAAGCAAAAATTAAAAAAATTTCTTTTATTAAGAGGGTTATTTCTTTTTTTTAAAAAAAATTATGGATTATTCTTTAAAATATTTTTTCTAGAAATTACAAAAAATAAATCAAAAAATAAACTTAATGGCGAATTGTGCGTCTATATTAAAGACCTGCAAATTGGCTCGAAACGCCTGAAATTATAAAAAAATGGATAGAGCTGGGTTTAAAAATTTATATTTATGAAGTACTTTTATACTTTCATTTTATAAACACAAGAAAATAAATCCCTGTAAAAGAATCAAGTGGAGAAAATAAAACAACATACAATATTAATGTCATGTATAAGGCATTAAAATTTGAGTTATTTAAAGTAAAAATAAACATGTAATTAATTACAAAAAATCAACCAAAAAAATTTTAGTCAAATTTTTGCTTTGTCACTGATAAATTTCGGAATTTACAATAGACCAAGCATGGATAAAATGACCATAAAATTGTTGCCCTTGTTATTTATTCTTACTCTGCATAATATTTCGATTGTTAAATTGTAATTTATGTTATATATAAACATTTTATTTATAACGATGTAAAATATCGAAAAATTCACAATAAAAAAAAATGCACTTAATTTATTTTGATATCAATAATAACAACAGTAACATAATTGATACAAAAAATTATCTTTTATGACAACAAATTAACACTGGTGTGAATGAGATTTTAGGTATGATAATAAATTACTATTTTTTTTAAAACAAATACCTAAAATGATTTGACTAAATATATCGTATTTTTTTCTTTAAACCAAAGTTCTGACTTGGTAAATTCGATAAATGACTTCTTCAAAGATAATTTGCAAAGTTTTATTTTAGATTCTTATCCAATCTGATTAAAATTAAAATGGGTTATTAGAGTACATGACGCGTTACGATGGTAGGTTAGCAACTGCGCCAAAATTTACATCATGTATATTGCAGTTATCTATTTAGTTAGAATTTTACATGGTTATATCAATCAGGCAAAAATATGCTGACATACGAAGGAAATAACTTTGATGTTTTATCCCTCCCACTAAATTCTTCCTTCGTGCGCGAAAGACGACGATTTTCGGCGTTTGCATGTAAATTAATGTTAAAATGAGCATTCGACGACCCACCCGGATTATCCTGATTATCACAATAGTTTATAGTTTTGTGATAACATTGCTGCTTATTTCCATTTTCCGTTTTATAATTATGGTCATCGGCGGAGTTGTTAAAATTGTGAATGCCTGAATAAGGATGAAATATCAACGATTTTAAGGTGGCGGGTGATGATCTGTGAAAGTTAAAATATGTTTAATTTTCATTGAAAAAGTAAAAGGCCCACAAATATGGGAAAAGTTTCAATAATATTAAGAAATGTTCTAACCCATAAGACATTTAATTTTGCTAAATTTATCATGTATATAATTGAAAGGTATAACAAAAAAAGGCCAAAACACAAGTTCCTACGTTGAAAACTTTATATGCATAAATTTTGTTTTTGGTAAATTTATATTTTACGAATACAAATAATGAAAATATATTATCTGTCAAATAATTTTCATCTATTATTCGATCGAATTATTTGTAAATATTCTAAACTAATTGTTAAAATTCTTAGGTAATTAACAAGTTCCTTGCGGAACTTTTTACTTTTTTGCCCACATCAATAAATCACTTTTACGATTTTTGAAATTTGGAAAAAATTTTATTTTCGAATCAAATTGAATGTTTTTATTATTCGTACGAATTTGAAAAGTAACTAGTTACAAGCTATTAATTATAAAAGTAATTACTTTTATTATTTTATTATGAATAATTTTATATTTTTTACATTGTAAGTTATTTTGATTCGTGTATTTATAATATTTGAAGGATATTGAATAAAGAATTTAAATCTTGTTAAATTAATTTATTAGACTACAATTCAAGTTGTTTTAATATTTTAATTAAATTAGCTTAAACTTCTCCTTTAAAAGATATATAAAGAAAAATAAAAACAATTTAAGAATATTTAAAAAGTAAATGAATTGAGGAAAATAGGAAAATGACAAATAAAGAGAAAAGAATGATTAAGAACGACAAAAAAAAAGGTATTAAAGAAGGAAGACATAGATGATAAAAAAATTATACAAAAAAAGAAATGGGAAGGTAAAAAAGACAAATATCTTTTTGATTGACTTTCCCCCCTTTTTAATCTGACCTTTTCTTAACCCTTTGGGACTTTTTCCTTTTGGTGTCTGACGTTTTCCCTTTTGGAATGCAGAACCCTGTATATATTATATAGCTTATAAACTTGTTTCGTTGATTTTGAGGTGTGCTTTCGGAGTTGGCGTGCCCAGTCAGCAATTGATAGTTGTAATGATTGTATTCGTTATTTCTTGTGTTATTTATGTTTAAATAACTATCATTGTAACTTGTGGAATTTATGGATTGGTTGATAACAACACTCGAATTAAGGTTATCATTAGTAGCATGGCTATTGATTAGATCCAAGGACGAAGTCATTTGTCTTTCCTCGTCATTTTCAGAAAGGGGGTGACGGCAATCATAGGACACATTAAAGTATTCGCGCAAAGATGGAAATAGTTCCAGAAATAGGGTGCACAAATCTTTTCGCAAACCAAACCACCCTTTATTTTTAAATAAGGTACAAGAAAAGTATCCTAAAAAGTCATTTTTTAAAAATTATTTTAATTTAAAATATATTACAAGGTTGTGTCTTAAGATCGGATTTTAAATCACAATTCAAAATTTTTTTGTATATCATGATTTTTTTTAGATATAATTTATTTTTTCTTGTATAGAATTGAAATAATAATCTCATTATTTTTGAATCGAGATATATCTTCAAAAATTTGATATAAATTCCATAAGGACGCAGTTTTTCAAATTGCCGCTTTTTTTGCTGCATCGAACTTCCAAGCAAATTAGACTCTACAAAATCGAACCAAGAAATTTAGTATTTTTTAAAATCATTATTTTCTTTTATTTATGTATAAATAGAGCGTTTCGCCGCCAGGCTTTGTGCCTTCAATAACACGCCGCCGATTTTTTAATTGAAGCCAGCGCGAAATTATTTTTTTAAATATTATGTTTAGATAATATAATATTAAAAGGCTAATATATTTTTATTCGAACATGTGATAAATATCATGGTCCCCTAGGAACTCTTTGCGTCACTCAAAAATATATAGGTAAGACCATCCATTCTTACATTAATTGACAAAATTAAATAAGAATTTAATATAAATGAGCGAAGGTTGAATTTGAGTGTGAAGCAGATCAAAAAAAATTCATATATACAATTTGGATATGTTTGATCTTGATAGCACCGATCATTACGATTCCAGTGATTATATTCACATTAATAACACTTAAATGTAATTAAAATGAAATGCCCGAACCAGATGAGCTATATATTATATATACTAGTAAGCATTTCCAGAGCTAATAAAAATAGGCTTAATAATGTTTTAAAAAGAATTGGAAAACCGTATCTTAAACTTTCAAACGATAAATTCGATCTAGTGTAATATTTCTTTCAAAATTTTTAAAAAAACAATTAAATTTATAGCAAATTTTTTTTTTGAAATTATCTAAAATATTTCCAAAATGACAACTTTTTCTTAGCTAATATTTTGATACAGACCTCTTTTTTTAAAAAAAATTTAGGGGAGTCGAGCCACTATGTGCCCCCAAGTGACGTTACTGCCCTACCTAGAATTTAGTATTTCTTTTCAGATGTCAGAGAGAGTCTCATTTAATTATAATGATAACTCAGGCTCAAAAAATTAGCGTTAGGATTTCCTGTTGGTAATTTGCAGGTAATATAAGTATTTTTGTTTTAATTAACTACTCCACATTATGATAAATAATTGTAGTGTTCAACAACATATATTTTGGTTTAGGCATTGTATTTAAAAACCGGGGCTGGCAAGGTAGCAACAAAATCAGATCGGTTAATGCAAAAATTTTGCTAGGCCAGAACTAAATTCCCACCGGGCCGAACCTGAAAATTTTGCCATTTGAAGACCTCTAATATTGATATATGTTTTAAATTTTTGGAAAGGAAAAAGGATTGAACTTCCATATCTTTCCATGCTAGCCAACAAAATTCTGTGTTCTAGCAACCAGAACATATAGTGAAAGGGTTCCTCTATCGCTGGGTCGACGTTGAATTCAAGCGTATACTGCAAATTGAAAAAAAAACACATTATAACTATAAATTACAAAATTGAATCTACAATTAATTTTTTTTTCTGATAAAGAATAAAATAATTTTTTTTTTAAATTTCTTAAAAAATTAATTAGCATTTATAAAAGTACTAATTTAATGTGTATATTATTTAAAAAAAGTTGCATTAATTCACGCCGCCTTAGATAGTGGCTAAAAAGTGACTCACCGCCAGCTTCCGATTGAATTTTTAAAAATCTCCCTGGCACCAGAAATGATAAATGGAATTTTAATCAATTCATAATATGGTCCTGAGACTGTCCCGTCATCTAGATACAATATGTTTTAAAGGACATGGCATTTGTTGTTGATGTTGTATATGATGGTGCAAATTGCCTCACAAAGGTAGCTGGGCACAAATGGTTCCCTTGTATTCCTTGTCGTTATATGGTTGTTTCATGAAACTTTAAATAGAATGGTTAGTAATAGCAGGCAGATATATAAGTGGAATATTCATGGAATGTTTTACAGAAGAAAGGAATGAAGTGCTTTCTTAAGAGAGTTAAAAATCCAATTTAAAAAGTGTTGTTAGATTGATCTAGCAGATGGCATGTGACGCAGCCTCACATCCTGCTGGAATACTATAAAGCATAATTGATAGGGTAGTAAAATAATCAAGTTTTAATTTCAACTGCAAGCAAATAATTTTGGATATGATTCTTCGGAAAATAGACACAATAGCAATGTGATGAATATCTCCATCCTCTTTGGATAGTGCAATGAGGCGAGCACCAAATATTAGCGAAAGTCGACGGTCAGATATTCTCGGTTTATACTGGAGTTGACCCAATTTAAATAGGAAAGGTTTAGTTCTTAGAAACAAAAATGTAAATTCAATTACATTAATATATTACATATTTTGTTTATAAAATATTTTATGTTTATTTCATGATAAGAAATATTAATCTTATGCTAAAATACTATTATAAAAAAATTCAATTTTTTTGAAAGAAGTATTTCACCCTATTTTTAGAATTTTTTTTATAAGAGGTTGTTAATTCATTTAAAATTCACTCCCCCCCTCTCCGACTATAGCCCTGAAAATACAGACATAAATTTTTAAGAGACAAAATTAACATTTAAAATAAAACCAATTTGAATTTTGCTTACAAGGATTTTGTGGCTTCGATGCAAAAGATAACGTTAGCATTAATAGAATCGATATAATCAATGGGAAAACGATTAGAGTATATTTCATTTTAGATTCGTCATTCAATTTACTAATTAGAAGAATCTAAAATCATATCAAAACAAAATAGTAAACTGATAATAATTTTTATTTATAAGCAGAGGTGTTAAAAAATAAAAGAAATCAATGTAAGTATAATATATAAAATTAAAAAAAATATAAACTCATAAAATATTTGCTTAAAAATATTTCGTTTTGTTTGGGCTGTGTCCAATATATCAAAAAATTCGATTAGCAAACTTTTGAAACTTTGTCGAAAAAGAAGACATAACTTATTTTAATTTAAAAATAAAAATGTCCAAAATATAATTCTAGAATTTTAAAAATTTAACTACGATTTCATTAAAATTGAAACTTCTGAAAGTTTTAAACTTTTCAAATTTAAAAAAAATTTTTTTTTAACCTGCAAAAAATTTTTCTTACCCGCCCATTTTTTAAAACTTTTGTTTAGCCTTCCTTACTTATTGTTTTGCAATTATTTGATTAATTAGTTTTGTTCTTTTTGTTTTTTTTTCATATATTTTTACTTAAATTTATAATATGCTATATTATGAAATAACAAAATAAATTTTAAATAAATACAGATATGTGACTAGGAACCATATTTGGGGGAGGGGGCATTTGAAACAAATTTAAAGGTCATGTTTAGGACAGGAGGAAGCTTCTCTGTGGCTAATGCTTAAATTTTTAACCAGCCAGTTTTAAACCTAGAATGAACTATCTATGTCATTCATTAAATGAGAAAATGAGTTTAAAGGTTAGAATAAAATGTAAGAATCATTCAAATAAGATTAAATAATATAAAATTATTTTAAGTTATATTAATACCATTTTTTTATAAAAACTTCCAGCGTCCCAGTTGAAAGAATTTTTAGTATGATTAAAAATATGTTTAATTGGGGATGTCTCAATGATAAAAACCAAATAATTTATTAATAGAAGCAAAGAATATTATTTTATACTCAAAATAAGAATATCAAGCTGAATAAAAATTGTTCGATTTAATTCTTTGAATTTTTAGGAACCGTTATACGGTTCAGTATGTAAAAAATTATAATGGTTACGTTTTGGTTACGGTTCTTAAGAAGAAATTTATAAAGGTTCGGTTCAGCTAATTATAAAGGTTCATTACGGTTAGAATTTTTTTTTTATTGAAGCAACACCATTTTCTAATTATTTTTATTATAAGCATATGAATTATATATAAAAAAATATAAGATTCAAAATAACTCATTTTTAAATATATTATTTGATCTATGGAAGTCCCTCCCATTAGTCGATCCTCCATCGTCGGCATTACAAAAGGATTGGGATAAACCTCTAGTTGGCAACTCCGTTGCATTCCTTAAATCGAGGAGCCAACCAGAGAACCATTCTCTACTCTTCTCCATTTCCGAAGGTAGTGGATACGAATTTATTGAGGCCTTCCCATCCCGAAACCTTGACCAGCTCCTAAGCAATGACGAGCTACGTCAAGCCATCGGTCTTAGACTGAATTGCGATATGGTAATACCTTATCACTGTATCCTCTGTCAAACATCGGTCAACTCCAAAGGCCTAACTCTCTACACTGCAAGCGCTGTAAAGACATATTCATTAGGCATTCAAAATGCAATGATACCATTACCAGGGCCTTAAAATCCGTCGGCATCCCATCAACCCTCGAACCTACTGGCCTTTACAATTTCGATGGTAAGCGGCCCTATGGTTCGACTATGATCCCTTGGAAGAGGGGGGAATTCCTAACTTGGGATTTGTCATGCATCGATCCTCTTGCCCCTTCCAATATAAATATAGATGCCATACTAGATGCCGAGGCGAATAAACTAGCTAAATATTCGCCATCTCTTCCCGCCAATTATACCATTAATCGCCACTACTTTAACGTCGTTACGCTCTCATGCCCTAGACTTCTTTAAAGAGCTAGGAAAACGGATCTCTGCTAGGACCGAAGATTCCAACTAGGGATTCTACCTACGCCAACGATTAGCCATAAACATAGTAAAATACAATTATATCAGCTTTATTTTTTCAATATCCGAAACCCCGTAATTGAAAATCCTATGCATAGTATAGACTTTGGCCATTTTGTTGCCTATTATAATGTTAGCGCTAAAAGGAAACTTGAATCTCAATCAAAAAAAAATAGCAAGAATTAATGACTTTATATAATTGTGATTTGCTAATATTATATTTTTTTACTATTATTATAACTTACCTTGATATAAATTGTCGATATAACGAAATTATAACAAATGGACATTATATGAAAGTTAAATATCTATCAATTAATAAAACTTTATATATTTTCTAATATAAATGGATTCCTTTTTGTTTGTTGTGACGATAACACAAATTTTAGCACCGAAAAAGCCCTTTCTACAGAAACTGTGTTTCGGGAACCGCCAGTACTATAAGAGCAAGTTTATATAATTCTGGATATTCAAATTATATCATTTCTAAAATATAAAAACTGAACCGGTTTGAACCGGTTTAACCGTTTTTTTATAAAGGTTCGTTTTACTCCTTCAAAAAATAATTATATCGGTTCGGTTGCGGTTCAGATATTTATAACGGTTTAACGGTTCACTCCGGGTCCCTGGTTTTTACAATAGATTTTTAATTTTGGTGTTAAACAGACTTCACATGATTTTAATTTTAAAAAATTTTCATATTAATATATCCTGGAAAAATCGTATCTGTATTTGAAAAGTATCTTTTAACAATTATGGTACACAGATATGACAAATTATTACACTTTATGTTAATCCAAAAACGAGGTGTCAGCAAAGTTTCCAGAGAGTGATATAAAGTCGAGCCAATAATTGGTAAGTTACCCTTTTCAACCATGCGGATCTCATTTTTTTTAACATGATCACTTAAAGGTTAAAATAAAAGTAACGTGATTCGTTCTATTTCACAGTTTTTTATACAAAAAACAATAGTATTCCCTTTAATTTATATATTGAGCAAAAAGAGGATAATTAATAAGATATTTTACCAATTTAAAAAATAAAATACGAATGATTTGTAAAACCAAGCCTGCTCATAACTAAAAAAAACTATTTTGGATTATATTAAACCAGTAGTCATTAAATTAGGCGATTGATTATAGCTTTTTGTAATTTTTAAACCGTGTAATTGATAAATCCATGGGGCTAATTAAAACCTGTTTCACTGGGTTCCAGTTGAGGTTTCCAAAACGGTTAGTTTCGAATTGAGTAATAAAAGGTTCGGATGATTGAAAATTTTTTAAAAATATATATTTAGAATTTTTCGGGATTAAGAGTAAATCTTACAAATCTTATCAAATATGGATCAATTCATTAAAAAAAATTTTTCAAATCTACCTGAAATATGAGGATAGGAATGAGTATGAAGAAATATATTCCGGCTGAAAGTATATTTTTTCGAACGATGTGTAAGAGATGGAAGCTTTTAATGAGTGTGAAAGTTAGAATAATGATACTAATGATCCCCAAAATGGACAGGCATTCGATCATCCAAGAAGGAATAAAGATCATCTTAAGTTTATGTTTAAAAAAAATATGTATATAAATTTATTGTTTAAATTTTAAAATAATCTAAATAACTAAATAAGGAATAGGCCAACTAACTTTTAAGCCCCTCTTCCAGAGTTGGGCAGTACCGCGAATACTTGCATCTAAGATACAAGATCCTTTTGTATCTTGTACTCAGTATCTTTTTGACATTTTTAATAAGATACTAGTATCTATCTAAGATCCTTTATTAATCTTGTATCTTTTTCATTTTCTTTAAAAAGATACAGATACAAATTCTTTTTAATATTCATGTTTAAAACATTTACATATCACACAATGTAACTTTATTTTCTTCGTGAAATCTTGTATTATTTTCTTTATTTTTTCCCGCTATATTTTAAATATATTAATAACCAAAATTAGTTGGAAATTTTACAGGTCACAAAGATAGATAGATTAATAAACAACACCAAAACTAAATAAGAGAAGCATATATTTTATATGTAATATTTTTTAATTTGTAGAATGTTTAACAATCATAGTAGTGAAGATGAAATTATGGAGATAGGTTCTCCTGAATCAAATCCCAATCTTAAAATTCTAGATGGAAAATTTTATAAAGTAATTCATGTGAAAAAGAACAAGGTATAAGCTGAATGTCAAAATTGCACAAGTAAAAAAGTTATTAAAGGTTCAACAAACTCCTTTACAAACTTTGTTAAACATATTAAAGTATATTATACATTTTTATTTTATAATTATTAACATAATAATACCTATATTTAAGTCTCTCTTCGATAATTGTTATTAAAAATTTTTATAGAAGATAGTTGATTATCAAATTAAAATCATTTTGGATATATATTTTTCAGGGGTGTATCGATACCACTTGGAGGCCGATCCGATATTCCCGATATGAAATTGCTTCGGCCGATTACCGATTCGATATCATATCTAATTTTGTATTCTGTAAAGATACCAATGGTTTTAATTTTTAATATACTTTTTATTAGTATAACATCTGTAATTTAACTATACCATAACTTACGTCATTTAAATATATTATAATGATCAGTTATAGTTTATATTCAATTCAATTGCAATTCTAAAAGTATATAAAATATTTTTATTGTTAAATCACTTTTATATAATAAGTAATAACATTAATCTATAGACATAATAAGTAATAAAAAAATTATATTATGAAATTTGAAATAAATATTTAAAATAATATTTAACATTAATATATTGAAGATTTGTTTTTAGAAATACCAATATTTCCAATATATCAGAGGTCAGCTTGCGGCGATAGTAACTGTAGCTTCACTAAAAACAGATTCTGAAGAGAATCTCGCACACTTTTATAAACAGAATGCGCAAAAAAATAACAATAAGGCAGAATGTTTCCCCCTCATCCCTTCAGGCCAGGTTTAATCCATTAAAACTAAATGCTATGGTTTAAGTAAAAATAAATTTAAAGCATTTACTTGATAATACCAATATTATTTATTAAATTTTACTGATTACTTATACCTAGACCTGTGCGCCGATGAAATATCGGCGGCTGGCGTAATTTTAAAAAAATCTAATCGACGGCCGGGGGCGCGCCGCTTTTTCGCCGCCGTCAATAAAATCGGCGCATGTATACATTTTTATAAGATAATTTTTTTTAATTGCTTATTAATTTAAAAAAAAACAAATAAATATACACTATTCTATAGATATCTCGGCATATTTTTTAATATTATTCATTTAATAGAAAACTTATTATATCCAAAATCGATTTCGTAATTTTATTATTATATGTATAAAAATTATTTTAATTAAATTTTTGGGACACAATGATGATCTCCTTGAATTTAACGTCAATCCAGTGGTAGAGAAAACTCTTTCACTAGGTTTGCTAGTCGCCGGGATGCAAAGAATTTTTTTGGTGAGCCTGGAAAGATTGGGAAGTTCACTCTTCTTTTCTCTCCAAAAATTTAGAACGTCGATATCTTGTGAATGTTGTTTTCCAAGAAAACTGTGGCATTCTTGTTCTAAGTCACCTAACTTGGAATCATAATTTATATATGATGAATGTTTATTTGCCAATTTTGTCTAATAACTTGAATTTAATAATTCATCTTCATCCTCATTAGCTATATTTACAACCTGATTATCATCATTCTCTATAAGTTTAATATGTTTTATTATAAATTCTGAAGTTGAGCAATTTTGCTCTATTAAATACTTCGACACAATTAAAATCTTGAACCTAAAAGAGAAGCCAATACCTAGATAATTTTAAATAAAAAATAAAAGAATATACTTATATAATATTACTTGCAGATTACAAACCGGAGATCGTAACGCAAGTTTTTTTAGCATATTTTCCTTAAGTGAAATAATTTCAGAACTATCACTATCATTTACTATTAAATGTGTTTCAATTTCACTTCTAAAAAGTAACGCCAAGTTTAAAGTAGGCCCTTTTTGTACTGAAAGAAATTCGACAGTTTCTTTAAATTTTGAAAGAAATGCTAATAGTTCTTCTACCAGATCAGCTTCATAATTTGATAATTTGAGAAAGTGCTTCCCAATTCTTTTCAAAACATTATTAATTAAATTCCTATTTAATCCAGATATGCTTTCTAGCATAATTAATATACTATGCCAACGTGTTGGGATATTTAATTTCAAGGTTTTCATATGCGTAGAATTATTGTTATTATTATCATTGGAATTGCAAATTTGAAAACGGGCATCCGGGTATGGATCAATGCTGTCAAGATATAACATGTCTGTTGTTAAATCTATTGTACTTTAGCATTTTTTTTGATATTATTCGAATTCAAATGCAGTTTTATATCTTAGAGCAGTAATAATTTCTCTAATTCTTTTGTAAAAAATTTCCAGACTATGGATTTTTTATTATCCAGAGTTAGGATACTAAAATATTTAAATTATTTGGCTCTGGGTGGTGGACTAGAAAAAGATGACTACCTAATCTACTGAGATGACTATCTAACCTATAGAGACTGCTTAACCTATGGTACGCCAGGCCTTAAAGGAGGGGGATGACTACCTATTGAGATGACTATCTTATCTATTGTGACTGCCTAATCTATTGATATGACCAATGCCTAATCTACTGAGATGACCAAGAATCAAACCTTAGCACGTTCTTTCATGCAAAAAGCTTCTTTCTTCATGGTGTCCTGGCTCTGGATGTTGGACTGGAATATGATAACCAGCACCTAACCTAATGTGACAACCTAGAAAGAACTGATATGGAAGTTGAACGATAGGTTATGAATTCTATTTTGTGAGACCAATGATGATTACTTATTATTCTAATCCACGTAAGAAGAAAAGTTATTATAAATTAAGATTTTATGCCAGGATAAAGGCATGTTATAAATTTTTAAAATCACTAAAATGTAAAATCATAATGGATATATTTGAACACAAAAAAAGCCTTTAAAAAATTATTTATAATTTCTTAGTGAAATATTGATACTAAAATGTAAAATCATAACGGATATAGACCACACAAAAAGCCTTTAAAAAATTATTTACTTAAATTCTTAGTGAAATATTGATATTTTTTGATTTCTTGAATGATGACCAATTGTTGTAAATTAACAACTAAACTTAAAGATAAATTCTTAGATATAATTAAATATAAACCATTAAAAATCCTAAACAAGAAGATAAAACTTTAATTTTAAATATATTAAAATGTAATTAAAAACATATGAATTAAAGGGATTGATTTAAATAACCCTTATAAGTAATACTTAATATGATAAAAATGTTTTTGAAATAAAGCTTTTGAAGATAAGTGGTTATGTTACATCTTCATTTTAGATAAATATTTAAATGATGTGATGAGATCATTTCTAAAAATTATCTTATGAAGAACTTTTATTAAAAATAACACTTTTTGAATTAAAACTAGGGTGTGAAATTTAAATTTTATATTTAAAGAGAGGGAAATGTGAATAATATTTTATTTGCATATTTTAACCTCGGAGATTGAAAATAAATAAAAATAAATTAAATACTAAAACGCAAAAATTAATTAAATACTAAAACGCGAAAAAATAAAGTCATTAAAACGCGAAAAATATAACAATCTTATTGATTTATCTTTCTTCATTTATTTTTATATTTTGATGAACTATTATTTCTTATTATTCGCAACTTACTGATGATAATAACGATTTTGAAAAATGATAATAATAACAACGTCACGATTTGTAAAACATTCGATATGGATATCAAGCTCACGATTTAAACAAAAACGAACAAACAACGATTTGGACAAGCCAACGATTAGTGACTTATGCAACATTGACAACCAAAACGATATACCACTTGAACAACAAACTCTCTATGACTTCTTAGATGAAATTATGGGAAGGCTTGTAGGAGGGAGAATGTTATATTATAGGAATTAATAAATTAAAATATTGGTTATTAAATAGTAATATATTTTAACTTATATAGCATACATTCATTATATTTTTATTTTGTTAGGAATTCAAATTCAACTTGTATTACTTTTTATGAATTCAAATTCATCTTTTCAATTCAACTTTTTATTTTTGTAATTCAACTTATATTACTTATTATTTTTCGTAACCTTACTTTGATCTAATAGCTAAACTTTCAGAAGGAAAGAAATTTACGAAGATTGACTTTAAAAATGCTTTCTTACAGATACCAATTGATAAAAGTTGCAGAAATATTTTAACCATATCTACGCACAAGGGATATTACCAATTTACTAGACTTCCTTTTGGGCTTAAGACCTCATCTGCAATTTTTCAACAGATCATGGATCAAATCTTCGGTGATATGGATGACGTCATATTTTATATTGATGATTTACTTATAACTGGAAAAAACGATGAAGCCCACCTTAACAACATAAAAAAAGTGTTTGATAGAATATCATCGTTTGGGCTAATACCTAACTTTAACAAAATTGTGTTCTTTAAAAATAAAGTGAGGTTCCTGGGTCATGATATTGA